TCAAAGCTAAAGTTCTATATAGTATAACTACTTACCCAGTTTGCCAGGGTGTTTGCCCAAGTTTTCTTCTGTTTCTGATTTTTCTTCAGTAGGAAAGAAACTACAACAGAGGACATTTGTGTGAGTATCTGTTCTTACTTTATGCCCTCTAAAAAGAAATCCAAAGATATATTTCCTCAGAGAGAATTACTTACCCCATCTTGGAAGAGCTGTCCTTAAACAGAAGTAAGGTAGAATCCGCTGAGAGGGGCTTGGGAACAGAGAGGCCAACTGACTTCTCAATTTCACTACTGACGTCAGAATTTTCTTTATCCATCTCTTTTTCATCTTTAGTTTCTGTATCTTCACTACCAAGAAGGAATTCTGAAATCTTTGCCAATGATGAAAAACAAAATACTATTAAGTCAAGAAAATGTAAAAGCAAATTCACTGTCAGTCTGAAATATGGCTGTCTACTTATAGGTTACACCTTAAGTCTAAAAGTGAACTTCAACATAATTTCCCTGAAACTTTTAGATTTCATTATTTTTGAGGCTGAGTCTTGCTATGTAGCCCTGGCTAGTCTGGAACTTGCTATGTAGACCAGGCTGACTGTGTATCACCATGCCTGGCTAACTGTTAGAGCTTTTAATACTCACCTTACTTTTCACTCTCCCCAAATGGCTATAAAATTATGAAGGAAGATTAGATTAGCATTTTACTGAGGCATTAAGAGATTAAACAGCCAGTTGAAGACAAAGGATGACTACTGATCATGACCACAGACTACAACATTTCTGTACAGCTCAGGCCTCTTCTTTTACTCAGGGTCAAATACTAACCATCTCTTTCGACTGATGTCAGTACATCAACAAGAAAACTTTTTTCAGCCAGGCGTGGTGGTGCACGCCTGAAGTCCCAGCACTTGGGAGGCAGGGGCAAGCGGATCTCTGTGAGTTCAAGGCCAGCTGGGGCTACAGGGAGACCCTGTTTCATACTCAATCACTTGTCTTTCTGGGGCAGCAAAACCTATGGAATAAGGGCCAGAGGTCTTCTATAAATATCCCTTTAACAAAGAATGAGATTAACTTAGAAGGCCTCTGCTTGATTAAGAATTTATTCTAGACCTAAACCTAGCCAAGACAACTGTTTTTTAATCCAAATAGAAAAAAACTAAATAAAATACAAACATAAAAGTTCTTATTAGTAAAAAGGCCATTTTCAACATTGGCAGTATATGAAAACACATAAACTAACAGGTAGAAACTGACACAGCTCTGTGAACTGTGAACAGTGAGCGCTCAACATTGCTAACAAAACTGTATGCACTGAGCTTTAAGCACACCATGTTCCCTAAAAATCTCTTGTACATTTGAATATAATTATTATACTCTTATTTAAATTCGATTTTTCTCTTCTTATTCATCATGACCAAGTAACAACATTATGTAATTGCCAGAAACCTCTTGATTGCCTTGTTCCTCCTCTTCCTCCTGTTCTTTCTCTTCCTCGTCCTCTATTTCCTCTTCTCCATCTTCCTCAGACTCATCTGTCATTTCTTCTTCTTCCTCCTCCTCTTCAAATCCATCTTCATTATCTAACTTAAGTAATGCCTGACGCTTTTGCCGTTCCTCAAGTCTTCGGAGTTTCATTGCCTCTTGCAGCTTAGCTTTTAGCATCTGCAGCTTTTCACCTGAGCAGAAATATATTGGCATGCTTCAGACATAACGACAAACTACATAATCCAATAACTAAATATGCATTTTAGATAACTCAAGAAGTATTCTAGGGGCTGGAGAGATGGCTCTACGGTTAAGAACACTGGTTGTTCTTGTAGAAGACCCAGGTTCAAATCTCAGCACCCACACGGCAGCTAACAACTGTCCGTAACTCCAGTCCCAGGGGATCCAACAGCTTCTTTTGACCTCCATGGTCACTGCATGACATGGGTGCACTTACCTACATGCAGGCAATACATGCATATACATAAAATAAAAATAATAAATTTTTTTTTAAAAAGTATTCTAGTCACAGCCCATAGGAAGAGCAAAGACCTAAGAAGTCTAGGCTTTTTGTGATTTTAACATGGGAATTATTAAACTGGTAGTTTAAATATTTTTGCTATACTGGCTTGGCAGAAGTTAGGTGTTTATAATATTCATTACCAACAGGAAGAAACAGGAATTCCTTTTTTTTTTTTTTTGTCTTTGACACAGGGTCTCCCTGTAGCCTCAACTGGCCTGGAACTCACTATGTAGACCAGGCTGGCCTTGAACTCACAGAGAGCCACCTTCCTCTGCTTCCCAAGTGCTGGGTTTAAAGGTGTGTGCCACCATGCCCAGCTCCGTAACAGGAAATTTCTTAACATCGTGATTCAGCATGTAAGCTGATATAACCATTTTGAAGGACAACTGGATGACACATATAAAAATTTGACTCAGTGATTCCATTGTAAGGAACTTTGCATCTAGATACATCGATGCATATGTGATACTAGAATATAACAATGGATGCAATAACCCAAAACAGAAACGCAATGTCAATCAAAAGGCCTATGGTCAAATAAATCATACTATATTCATTCACTGATGTAGCATGCCACTGTTAAAAGAAAAGCCTCAAAACCAATATAATGGAGCAGGGCGTGGTGGCACACGCCTTTAATCCTTAACACTTGGGAGTCAGAGGTGGGTTGATCTTTTGTAAGTTCGAGGCCAGCCTTGTCTATATAGTGAGTTCCAGGCCAGCTGGAGAAAAAAGGGAGACCCTGTATCAAAAAGACAAAAAAAATCCCACCAATATAATGGGCAACTCTCTCTTGAGAAGCCTGTACTCACACTTGGGTATGTCTTATTTTCTTGAATTTTAGTTTCTTTTTCTCCTAACTCTCATGCTTAAGCCTATATTAAAACATCTTGCCTAGCTAGTTTTGAAAACCAGAGAGAACCATATTTCTCCAACAACCTACTGACAAATTATACATAGCAGATCAAGAAATATATGTCTAGATAAGGTTTATCTGAGAACAACAGATCATTACCCAAGATTTATCTACATTACACACAGTAATTAAAAGTGCCAGACTGGTGGAACTATCATTC